GCCAAGGAGCCCGGCAATTATGGTGACCCTTGCGACTTTGCAAATATCTTCGGCATCACCGGGGAGAAGATGGATGAGATGAAGACGAAGGAGTTGTCCAATGGTCGCCTTGCAATGATGGCCACCATTGGCATGTGTGTTCAGGAGGGCGTCTTCGGCGAGAAATTTTCTGACCTTCCAGCCCAGCTCGGTTTCTAGGTAGCCCAACTTAGCGACACTTCACTTCCCTTGAAGAAATAGAAGGCATGTGAGCGTTTGACGACAAATTGCATGCAGTTTGTTTATTGAAATCAACCATTGTGGAGCTGTGGATACACAGTTTTTGTTTGGCTTTTGGATTGAACTTCTCTTGTGCCAGCAGAGTGCAGCTTTGCAGGTCTGTGAGCCTCGAGCAACGACGTCAATGTGGCTAGGCCGAACTGAGACCGTGGCTCCAAGTCGTCCTCGGAATTGGCACAGTCCTCCGAAACGAACATCGACATCGTATGACATGCATTTCGACATGGTCTTGGGGGTCTGAAGTGTTGGATCAACCGTCGTGTGGGGAGTTCAAGCGACCGGCTTGCCTTGTCTTGTGCCTTCGTCACCGGGTCGGTCATGGTTTGCGTAAACACGTTGTCCTTAAGGACTCCGAAGCATCAGCGGCCGGATGGAGAGTTCTGCATACGGCAACCCAGCCGACTAAAGTTGTAACACTCTCGAAAGTTGCTGTGCTGGTGAAGGGCTTGCGAAGTTGAAGAATCACATAAGAATGTTGCAAGCGTACATTGAATTTCAAGTTCTTTGCCAAAAAGGCCAAAAGGGTATTTGCAAGAGGCATGCTGAGGCATGCTGCATTTTGGCAAACGGATACAGAAACTGTCGGGCGGGACCATACGAGCACCTGCGTTGTTGTATTTTTTTCTAATTGTCTTCATACGTGCGACACAGTGGTTCAAGGAGGTACTCGCGTGCCGGAACGCCGCCCTGACCGTGGCGCATGCCAGGTTGTGCATGAGTCTTTTTGATTGCGTTGAGCACTCTTTGCCAAGGCTGAGCATTGAGAAGTCCACAGTCAACTGAAAAGTCACAACTTTCTTGTCCCGCTTTGAGTGATATCCAAACCAATATTCCTTACAACACCCAATTTTGATTTAGTAACAATATGTATTCAGACTCTTTCGTAGACTCTAGCTTGCGCAATGCCTAAATTACTAAAGCTTGGAGCTGTCAACTGACCAACTACCAATCTCATTGTTCATTTTGTGGAAGAAACGCAATCAAACTACGTGGTCACGGTTTGACAGACTGCCTGGTAGCTTTGCGGGGATCGTTGCCGCTGGCCAGCATGTGTCACCTTCAGATCTGGCCCAGGTGCTGAATTCTCAGCTGAAAGATGGGTCCGACAACATCAATGACCTGTCCAAGTGCAGGCATGTTCTTGAATGGGACTTGCGCCTCATGAAACGCAAGATGTTGTGTCAACAGCCAAATTGTCATGAATTGAGCACATTTATAGAATATCCTTTTGACCCGCAGTTTGAACTAGTAATGGGCGGCTGCTATGTGCAAAGCTGCCGATTGAGACAGTTGCTCCGCAACGGTTATTCCCTGACGGACTACTCCGAACTGACAGACAGCCTTCGCATTGAACCCTGAAGAACCTCAAGCATGCATGCCTTGGCATTGCCTTGGCATTGCAGTCCCACAAGTTCTGTTTTCTTTCTTAACCGCGATGCCGCTGCATGCATCGGTTGGGTCTGTTGAGGTTGTGAGGCAAACTGTGTGTGTTGAATGCAGCGGGACGGCAGTCTCGCACAGGACTTGTGGACAATCGCACAGATGAAATGTGCCGGCTCACTTCTCCGTCCTGCACGGACAACCGCAGGAGCTCCACAGGCTGCACAGGTCTTGTTCAGCAAATCATTTCTGACTCCACAAGCATCCTTTCTCTTGAGCTTCCCCTCCCTCCTGGAAGTGGACAACCCTCCACTTGTAGAGGAAAACGATCTTTCCAGGTGTTATTTTCCACTTCCATGATAGTGTCAAGGAGTGTATTCGAAAGGCAGATTTGACATGTGCACTTCAAGATTCGGTTGACGACCATCTGGTGGGGTTGAACATCTCTCATGAGCCGCAATGAAAGGCCCTAAAAGTTTCACCGGATCTAGATGCAACAGGATGCAACATCATACAGTAGGATACAAGAGGATGCCGGATTTGATCCACCCACCATCACAAGTTCTTTTGGACCAAAGAGTTGCATTGCACTTGTTCTTTCGGACCATCAAGGAGACGTATCCCGTCAACGAATGACGTTGACGTTGACGTCACCTGAACGACGAGCGACTTGCGACTTTCCGGGGGAGAACGTGCCGTTGGAGTTCCAAAAATGAGCCGTGCCAAGGGCGTGCGAACGGGGTGGTGTGGCGGGACGGGTGGGACAGGTAGATGGTGGACCAAAGGCCATGTTTTGGGGTCTCGAAGTAGGTCTATCAGTTCACCAAGGTTTGTAGAGATTCAGGCGTCTCTTGGATTTTTTCAGATTTTCTCTGCCGAAGGTTCACTTTGGGGGAAGTGAGGATCAATATGAGTGCGGATCGGCTGCCTAAGCACAGTCTCACCAGCACTAAGTCCAGGCCAAGCTTCCACCCAACACATCTAGGGTGGTAGGATCCATTGGTCATGCTGGATGGCAGCTTTGTGGGCTGTGGAAGAAGAACGTGGCTCACCAGCACCAGAAGTTGAACGCTAGGGCCGCTAGGGCCGCTAGGGAATGTAGCAGCACACTTCCATTCTTTCTTGTGACATTTGCAACATGCGCAGTTGATGCAAGAGAGGCGTGGGAATCGGCGGGTGATTGCGGGCCCGGAGATTCCAACGGTTTGGCCCAAGAGAGTTCCCAAATTGAAAGGACACCCTTTTCCCTCCAAAAAGGAAGTGGACATCATGTCTATCTATCCCTTTTTGCGGCCATTTCGGGGGAACCACTTCTTCGTTTTCCTCCGCGAGTTGCGGTGCTTCCTACGGTCCATACGGTCCATACGGTCGATGTTGTTTGCTTCCTTCTCCCCTCGGAGAACCATGGGCCAGGTGTGAGGCTGCTTGTCAAGCCAGGAATAAGCTCCAGAACTTCCGGAACTTGACTCATGAGCTACCCCACCTCAGGATCATAATCCACCATAGGGGTCAAAGGAGTCATTTTCTGGGATTCTTGGGGACCATGGAGATCGGACTCTCGCCCGGCTCAAGCCGTCCTTCGGCTCGGCTGAGCTGGTTCAGTCTCACAGCTTTTGACGGGAGCAAACTACAAAATACCGGCTCAAGCATTGAAGACAAGCTATATATATATATATATGTACGTAAATGGTTTGCTTAACTGGAATCAGCCAATTAAGGGGTTTCATTTCAGGTGATCTCTTGCTTAACTCTGGTTTTCGAGAAGGTGCTCGTTCAAAATTTGGACCTTTGTGCTGGGCTCCGGGCAGAGTCAGCAGCTTTCGCAGATGGTTATTGTTGGTGTCAAGAAGGCTAAGATTTGAGAAGCTCATGTACAGCCAACACTTCAAGAAGTGCTTTGTTTCCATCTGGCTATCAAGAGGGTTTGTGTGCAACATCTAGTGATAAACTTCACCTTTGTTCGCTTCACCATATCCAACGCATGCTGTTCCCGCAATAGACCCAACTGGCCCGTCCAGTGGCCAGCTCTGACATGGTTTGCATTTGGGGGGCCCGGCCGTCTTCTTTCAGCATGGCGGAAGCTTGGGTGCCAACTGTCCATGAAACGTCCCACCTATGGAAGATCTTTATCCCCACCTCCGGAAGATCCGTGCCTTCCAGTGGGTCCACGTCCCCTCGAAAAGAGCATTTCCAAAAGTGGTCCCACACCGTGTTTCTCGATGAACCGCTCACTGGCCTCACCTTTTTGTGCACCTTAAACCAACCCCTGCAGAGGGTTTCCCACCCAAGCCACCAAGAAGGAATGCCTCCGTTTCCACCCCTGGGCCCGGGGGGGACCATCCCGGTCGAACCCATCGCCATGGGCCGCCATGCGGATTCGGGATGCCCTCAGCCGCCATGGCCCTCCGGAGGCGGGAGGGGCGGACAGTGTCCAAGCAGGGGATCTGGTTCTTCCAAAGATTGGGAAAGAGAGACTTTTCCATTTCAAACAGACACAAGCAAAGTGTTTACAACATGTTTACAACATGTTGGGTAAACGGGGGGGGGTTAGCCCCGGACGCAACGCACCGAGGGTCAAAAAACCTTGTTTTTTACAGGGTAAAGTGGCTTTCCGGACACTCAACTTATCGTCTTGCAACTCATGAGTTGCAAGACGATAAGTTGAATACATTTTGACGGACGTATTCACCGACCCGCCTGCTCCTTGTCCATGGCGCGAAAGTGATTTTCCACCTGCTAGGCATTAGTCTTGGTCCCAGTGGAGCCATTTCAGCTCAGTATACATGGCAGCTGGCGGACACTTCTCTATGTATCCTGACAGCCTCGAGCGTTGCGTCCAACCCAGGATGTTGGCTGAACCACAACGCTGCGAGGCCTTCAACGTGCTGGCGTTGCAGCTTCGTGTCGCAGCGGCCAAGCAAACCCATTCTACGCAATGATTTTTTCATCACTGCTGCCAAGCTTTCTGCAACTTGGTCTCCACCAACGACCGTAACTTTGCTCTGTTTCTCGAGCAGCATGGGTCTGGCAGAAGAAGAGGAACAGATGGAGCTACCTTGCTTCAACGCTTGCAGGGCCTTCTTTGGAAGGTGTCGTTTGCTCAGAGTCACAGTCGGCGTGTACTCGCTCTGGGAGTGACGCGCGCCGTTGCAGCTGTCAAGTTCATCTCCTTCATAGCACCTTGAAGGCCCTTCGAAGCGTCACTGCCCACGATGTGTTTGGTGCTGCAGAGCTTCGTCTTCAAGAGTGGCAACACTTCATCCTTGCTCTCAGGCGGTCCCGGTCAAACCGTAACGGAGAACGACAGTTTAACAATGCAACCTCCTGAACAAAAGAGATAGTCGGATCTGAGGCACGGGTACAAACGTCTATGTGATCGTCCAAAAGAAAGGGGTCGGCCGTAAAAAAAACCATCAAGTGCTCATTGGGGGAAGGGCACCTCAAACCGACCAAACGCAACAACAGAACCAACGACAAACACAAACAAACCTCCAAAGTAGAACCCGTCATGTCCTGTAAGCCGAGACAAGCGGGTCGTCCAGCGAACGAATCGTGACCGAGCGAACCTACAAGGAACCGGGTGGACCAATGAAGTACGTAGACGATGTACGCGAGTCGTAACCAGGATGAAACTGACCCCACCCCCCCCCCCCCCCCCCAAACACGAAAAAACCAGACCACATGTTACGGGCGGGGCTAACCCCCCCCCCGTTGACCCAACATGTTGTTCCGCTGAATTTTGGCCACTCACCAATGGCATGCACAAGTGTTTGGGTAGCGGCTCCAGCGCTTGGCGGTGGTGCGAAACCGGCAAGACCCTGCCGTCCGGTCTGGCTGGACCCACACGTGCATGTGTGCCTCATCAGAACAGGTTTGGGTTTTGATGTGATGTGAAAGGTCTTCCCCTCTGGCTGGACGCGGATACTCCAGGTGGACGAGGATCCCTGGAAGAGCGCTCCTCAGGCGGAAGGCTGGACGAGGGTCCGACCAAGTGTCGGAGATGCGCCGTGAGTTTCACATGAGGTGCGCCCAGACCATCCAGTCGCACTGGCCTATTGACCTACATTGGGGGTGGTTGAAATGGGGCGGCCGAATGTAAGCCGATCTTCGGGTCTAAAGTTTGGATTTCTACATTTCGGTCGTTAGGGTCGAAGGTCAACACTCAAGACACACGGGGCAAAACCAAGGGCCAACGTGGCCCTGCTCCTTTCAACGGCGAGACCTCTCAAGGTGAACGATAGAGTACAAAAGACCCAGAAAACAGACCGATGTTCGTGGTAATTATTGCTCACTGAATCTCCTTTCCAAAGCTCTGGTGGCCCGTAGCCCGTAGCTTTGGCCTTTTGACCTCTTGTACTCTTCAGGCACAACAACCACAGCCTCTGGGTGTCTCAGTCCACCGGCCGGGGTCGCCATACCACTTCGTCACATGCGGGCCAATTCTTTCTTGCGGGAGGCATAAACCAATGGCAGATCGATGGGTTGTCCCAGTGGATCGAAGAGATCAAGCTGGAGGCACCGCCTTCGCCTAGGAGCGCTCCTCCGGTCGGGCTTCGGTCGGGACCGGGCCCCCCCCCCCCCGCCCTGGAGGAGCGACCTCAAACGGTCGGTGATCCGGACCGGGGGTCAACTTATGTCCACCACAACCATGGTTGAGGAACTGGGGCTTGTGATTTCGTTGGTTGGCAGCTGCGGCAACATGGTTTGTGGTCCCAGAGTCCTCCAAGGACGGAGAAAAGCACAGAAGTCAGAGCTCAGCCAACAAAACCTCAGAATCTGTCAACCACTCCAGAGTAGAACCCAGAATCAATACGAAGAGCTTGCTTCAGAACACCTCCTCACTCCATCCACCCTCACCCTCCATCCACCCTGTGGCGCAGCTCGCAGCCAGGCCCATGCAGTTCAGATCGAAGCGTGGGCCAAAGAGATGGGGGCCACCACCGTGCAGGAGCCGCTCGGAACGAGCACTCTCTCCCGACCGACCTGGTGGGGACGGCGACCAGACCAGTCGCGTGCCACGATCGGTCTCTCCGGGAACCATGCGGGGCATGGGATGACAGAGAGCCGATATAAGACCTCACGGTACCAAAGGACGGGACACAGATGATGTTATGTCCCTTGCAGGGTTTTTCCACGGTTTTTCAGTGAGTCTCATTCTCAGGGACCTGTCCTAGCGAAAAGGACGTCTCGAACCAGTTTCTTGCGAGATTCTCCGGCCCTCACACGGGACAGATGGGAACCTTTGCTTCTCCGCCACTGCGGCAGTCACTTCGCTTCGACTTGGTCGCCCCTCCCGGACCATGAAGTTGGCCTTCGCACCGACCCGCACATCTGCACCGTGTCCGGTCGCCGTCCCACCACCGCGCTCCGCTGCGGCCGCTTCCGCCGTTCGCCATGGCCGTCAGGAGCTTCTGGAGCATTGGGAGGCGTTGGCCGCGGCGCTGCCGCTGCGACCGCTGGAAGCACGGAGGCCTCGAGAGATGAACGGGAAGACGCCACCAAGCGGTCTGGCCGGCAGATGTTTCTTTTTGGCAAGCTGAGATGTCAGTGCATGTTTGGCTGTCCCAAAGGTTTGAGCCGGAGAGTTTTGTTTCAATGTGACCCAACACCTGGGCCGAATTTCATCAGAGAGGGTGGAGATGTGTCGCTTCTCCGACCGGCGCGACCAGAAAGAACACGCACAGTTAACATCACAGTTTTCAACAGGGAGAAAAACACGGGTGTTTCGCCTCGGGGTGGGACCGGTTGGTTGTCCTTGAGAGTCATCGGTGCGATTCTTGGATTCGCACCATGTCAGGAGACGTCTACATGGAGTTGGTCACACCAAAATTCACGACTCCATTTTGCGGTTTTCGGGAGGTTGACCGCTCAGAGTGGACTGTAGGGGTAGGGATTTTTCATCCACCCACGGGCCTCACAAGTCTTCGTGGCCCTTGGCAGGTTGCAGAGGGAGGGCCTCAAATGGCTCGAGCGCCCGCAGTGCCATGCGCCCGCCAAGGCTGGCCACTCGCTCGCCGTTCCGCCGCTCGCCGTTCGCTTTCCCCGCGGTCGGGTCGATGCGGGGCTTTTGGAATGCAGATGTACTTCGTTGGAACAAACTTCGTTGGAGTAGATCGAAATTGATCGAAATTTCGTTTCTAATGGCGATGGCCTCTGGTCTGGAAGTCTTGGTCGATCTTGGGTTGAAAACCTTCAGCTTTCCTCTCCAGGTGGAAGAGACGGGCAAGAGGATCACCGCCAAGGAGGGGCGGGTCAACGATGCAGGTTGTTTTTGAAGCGTCTGGCTGTGTATAGCTTTAGCCTGAGACTGGGAAGCCCCCCCCGCAGTTGATCAAGATCATTACTGTCCACTGTGTATTAAGACCCAACAAATGATGCAGATCAGCTTCTGGGTTGAAGCAGGTTTAATATGGTTTAATTTCTGGAACCAATCAACTGCAAGGTGCAAGGAGAGGGCCCTTGCAAGGTGGGGATGCCATTTTGGAGCAACTCGGCTCGGGCAGTGCACCTGATCTCGTTGATTTCATACATTCATGGATTTCCGGGTTTGGAAGCTGTACTGTTGAAGAGTTCTTGCACCAATCCTGAGTCACTCCTGACCAACAAATCAACATGGGTCCAACCACTAAAGGGAAGAGTGAGGGAATGTGGGTTTGGGTGGTCCCTTTTGGGTTTCTTCCATCCACAATCAGGTGTCACACCCGGCTGGCTTTTGCTGTGGCCTTTTCCGAACTGACTCAGATGCAGGCAGCCAAGCCGGCCGTGCTGGCCATGCCGGCTGTGCCTGCTGTGCCGGCGGCCCGAAGAGCACGATTGCGCCAAGGCACGATGAATTTGAGCACCTTCTTTGACTCAGATTGTTGACACTTAGTGGCGGTGTTCCTTTTTGGAGTTTCTATTATAAAACAGTTCAAGAGAGAAAGAAGCTGCCCTGGATCCATGGCTGAAGGTCTCCGAAGGCGGCTAGGGCGACAAGTCAAACTCTTTGGTTCTGGCTGTGCACGGTGCTCTGGAGGTTTGCTTCGATTTGAGTCCACCTGAGTCCACCTGATTTGGTGTTTTTAAAACGACTTTTTGAGGAGGCAGGAATCTCGATGGCGAGCAGCGATCGAAGTGGAAGGTGCTCCAGAATGTGAATGTTTTTCAGCTTCCCTCCCTCTCTCTTCCCTTCGTTATCTTTCTTCTTCCTCTCTATTTCTCTCCATGTTGGTAGAAATCAATGTTGCTGGAATTGGTTCAAACTCTTCAAGATCATCTTGGGTCGTGGAAGCCGGATGGAGGTGGGTCTTAGGTTGACCTTTGCTGGCCCAAAAATGATTCAACCACCACCCTAAAGATCCTAAAGTGCTTGTATTGGGCTGCTTGGGCTTCGCCACCGGAGTGTCTTCCCAGCCAAAGTGTGATGTGCTCGGGACTTTTCCGTCTGAAAACATCTGAAACCGTTCCGTCTGACGTGGATGACGAGGTCTGGTCGTGGGGTCTCGCCGGGGTCGGACCCGATGCCAGGCGACGAGGCGAAGCTGCATGCCTGACCGACCTGGGAGCCGAGGGGGAAGGTCAAGGGCTTCCAAAAGAGCGACATGTTCATAGGAATATACTCTAGATGATCCCTCGAATCAGATCAAAGGCGGGCTCAAGCCGTGGACCGTGATGAAAAACTGAATCTGCGTCTTGGTCGATGGAATGTGTATGGTTTGGGGATTTAAATATGTCGCGATGTACGGCTGGGCGCACTGATCTGACAGGAGCAATGCTCCAGATTTGGTTTGAGGAGGGTTCAACCAGCAAATGAACCAAGACACCAAAGCGCCCATCAGCCGATGCTATCGGGGTAAATGGAGGAAAGCGAGATGCGACCAGCCAAGTCTTTGGATTTCACTGGAGGCGAAACCAAGGTAATCGCTTTCAGCCACATTTTGGGCAGTATTAAAGACCAGCGGTGTGAACATGTTCCTCTTGCCAGACCAAACAGAGCCACATATGACTCCGAGATCAGTATATACTTATACAGTAGAAGACTGGCAGTTAGAATATAGAATCAATGAATTTAGCTACTAAATGACTTACCAACATGGAGAAGCCTGGTAGAGGCACTGCAGTTAGTACTCTAGGGTTGTCTCCTGGGGTGGAGGCCGAGGCTAGGTCAACTTCCAAATTCTATCGATACGCGTCACCTGCGTCACCGCTGTCACCCGCAGTCTTTGTAGGGCTCCAATTGCTGATGTCTAGGGGTGAGGTCTCCAAGTCTATGACTGGAGGATGGACTTCTTTGAAGGTGCGGTTCCGCCTGCATCAGGGTGTGCTGGATCGGGATGTGCCGCGGGACATTTTTTGTGTTGGTCGCGAACATGTGCCACATGTTCGAACAGGAACAAGAAGCCTCCTCTTCAGTGGAAGTTCGGAGGTTTTGCATCAAGTGCAACTCTCCAGTTCTCTGCCCCTCCTGCCAAAGTTCTCTCCCTTGCAGCTGTTTCCGGGCACTTGGTTCAACCGTGCCTAGCCGGTGTCTCACGGTTTCGCTGGCCCTCACGGCCCCTGACCTCGGAGGACGGAGGGTCCAATGACTTCAGCCACGACAGTGCCGCAGACGGCCTCATGACCTCGGACGCTCGGACGTTACAGCGCGCGGAGCGCCCGAGTCCAATGGGAGTGATCAAAAGGACCTGGTCTCGGTAAAGGAAGGAGGCGAGTTCCGGGATCCCACCAAGTCTGCGATGGAGAGGAATGTCTTGTTTTTGAAGCTATCTCGTCCATTCTCATCCACCTGGAAGGAGGAATGGAACCTCCAACTCGTGTCAAATACAGGAAATATGAAGGATCTAAAAGGCTCTGGAAACCGCGTTGATTTGGTAGGACATCGGGTGGTCGCCTCGAAGATTTCGGGTCGCCGACTCCTGGAGTCTTGGCGAACTGTCTCCCGATGCAGGTTCATCGAATCCACCGAAAGGACCCATGCGACGCGCTTGCCGCCCCATGTCATCCAGGCGACCCATGCAGTTCATGGCTATGCCGGAAGTCCCTACGCTTTAAACGCTGAGTGCCTCGGAACCGCGTTTCGGCCGTGCCTCCCGGATGGTTCGTGTGTGATCTTTCACCAGATTTGCACGAGCAAACATACTACTGTATGGATCATAATTGTAAGGGGCTGATCCCATTGGTCCTTACAACTACAAAGCCTGGCCAATGGACTTAGACATTTGTACAGCTATAAACCAATGGTTCCAAATCTCCAAGCTGTGTAGGGCCCAAGCTCTGTTTCCTTAGGCCTATTGGTTAAAACCTGATGACATGTATCAATGATTTTTAAAGATGTTGACCCACATTACGAACATGACAGTAAAGAACATAAATGATATATATATATATGTTGCTATTTTCATTTTCATAAGACACAAGACACTAAACCTGCAAAATCAAATTACAGTGTTCTAGCCCAGATGTGTCTTTTGTCTTTAGGGATTGTTTGAGTTCCTGGAAACAACTATGTCAACTCAATAATGTTTATTTACTGTTGAGATTCATCATTTAGGATTTCTCTCTAGAACGCCTTTTTTGTTTGTACAGGAAATTACATGTACTGTAAGAGATGATATAGTCGTATTTAAATTAAGAAGACATACACGCCCTTATTCTATCATATTTCATCATAGTTTATGTAATTCTTTTCTTTTTAGCAAAGACATATCTGGGTTCTGATTAATGCTGTTCATTGACCCTTTTTCCAACATCAGAATTCTCCAGCTACAACCGTGTCACATCTGAACATCTACGAACACAAGTGAGCCAACAAACATAACATACAAGATCATGAATCCCCTTTTTGGCATTCAACTATTCAGCATTGTTTGGGTCACTTATTGGCAGATCCGGAGGTGGACATGTCGGAAGAGGGTGTCAGCAGGTCTGGCCCAACTCCTCGATCTTCGGGTCCATTTCATCACCTGAGATCCCTCCAGTCCCCCTGTGGTGTGGCGAAAGGCGGCCAGTGCCATCTGCCAGTCCTCTGAGGCACCTGGGAGGGAAACTTCCCACAGATTCGACGGCAAGTGCCGGTCACTTGGTCAGACAGGATCTCCAACAGGTTGTGCAAGTTCAGGGCATTTCAGGGGAGACACGAGGAGCCACAGCCGAAGGCTTCCGCCCAAAGAAATTTGGAGATAGGAGCGGGGTGGCAGAAAGCCCAAAAAGAGATCCCGTTCGGAGAGGATTCCTCGTCCTTTGAGGCATGTTGTCCAAACGTGCTGCGAATTCTCCAACGACAGAGTTTGACCCAGCCTCCCAAAGGAAGCACCGATTTTGGGCCGAAGGCAGCGGTGTTGTGCGCCGAGTCTCTCGTAGGCCCAATGCGGGGATCCGTTTTGGTCGTTTGGGCTGGCCGGTCCCTTGGCGTTTTGGTCCGCCTTTGAGGCAGCAGAACGAGCACTTCAGACTCGTCGCTTCGGCTGGGCACGGCGGTCAGGTCGGGAGCCCGATGTTATTTTTTTCTACTTTTATCAGATAGTCTGAGGGGCATCGTTATTAGGTTGGAGGCCATCGCGCCTAGGATGGAGGCCATCCCTATTAGGTTAGAGGCCATCGCTTCTCGGATGGAGGCCATTCCTATGAGGTTCGGTGGATTTTGCCTTTTAGGTTGAGATCCCCCAAGAATGAGACGTCCCCCGTCCCCAAACAAAAGCCAAGAGGGAGAAGCGGATACCCGAAGTTAGGGGCTGCCGCCACGTGCACCTTTCGCCTCTTTCGCCACGGTGCCAGCACAGTCTCACGGCCACATGTTGGTTTGGAAGATGGGATAGGATGGCATCAAAACCACTTAGATAAGCATGAAACAACCAGGTTTGGCTTGGAACCTGACAGGGGTGCTTTGTTTTATCAATATGTTCACAGGATCCGGTATTGATTCTTGTATCTCATCTCCCGTTCGGCTAGTTTCAATGAACACGAAACGCTACACCCAGCCACCGAGGAATGGCAAAGCCCTCGTGTCACCGTGCAGCACTGCTGACCTCGATGCTCTAGAAGAGCTAGTACCTTGACAGACACGACGGACACTGCTTTTGGTATCCCTGAAACTGTAAGCTTCTCCAGTCCATAGCCTTTCGCACATTGCGAGCTTTGCGTTGAGGTGTATTTTAGACTCGGATTTTTGTTTGTTTTCCGACGTCTCGCGTTTGCGATTACTGTTGCGTCTTTCTACAAGTGTTGACAAGAAACACCTGTCGTAAAAACGGTTTTGGAGAGCCAGTATTTCGGAGTGAATTTGTACTTCTTGGATTCTTAGCAGTGGGATTTTTCCATGCAATCTTCCTAATTAGCTGCTTGCATTTCTGTTTCCAGTCGATGCTCCTAAAGTTCAGTCAGAACGGCTCCCACTTGCTGCACTGAGGAAGAACTGGAGGCCAGTGTGGAGGCGGTGAGCAAAGAGGTAGAAGAATGGAGGCCGAACGGAAGACATGCTTGGAGTTCTGAATGGTGTGTGTGGCCTCCTTGGCCAAGTAGTTCAAGAGGACAGTAAGGGTCCTTTCTCTCGGGAAGGGATTTGGAACCCTCGAATCTGGATCGACTCGTTTCGAACATGAACGACTTGCTCTGGTGGGGTTCTCCCCATCCGAGCGACCCGCATGCGACCCTGCAGGCCGAGTAGCTTTGAATTCCAACGGACGTTACAGATGGCGGGCCGTAATCAAGGCCGGCGAACGACACGAGCGTGGCAGGGTGGTGCGGAAACATACTGTGAGGTGTGGTGCAATCTAGAAGTGTTTCTCAAAGGCCTGCCAGAATCCGCAATAGATCGCCATACTGTACACAGCATAGACTCGCTTATTCTACATGAAAAAGGATAGCACAGAAGAGAAGCAGCCCCTGATCAGAGTTTCAAGCGTTGTCGTTTCGGACCTCCCAAAAGAAGATCCAAACGGATGCATCATTCCATCCACGTTGGTTCGCCAGCAGCTTGTCCGGCGTCCGGCTCTCTGGAGGTGCTGTAAATCTAATGAAGTGCCTTGAGACTGGAAAATTTGTGGCGGTCAAGGCAATGCCACAGTCCTGGACCACCCTCGGCTGCTTGGTGAGACGTTTCTTTGTCGTCCTGGACAGTGAGGCAATCAGATCCATACGTAGATCTTTACTCATCTTTTCTCCCTTTGGAAGATTCCGTCAGAGTTGGGGGGAGGATGGCTTCGGTGGCAGGCGCTCGGTTTCGGTGGCTCGATTTCGGTGAAGCACGGTGCTGAGCACATTTGCACGACATTTCATCCATTTCGGGGCCCTTGAGGGTCGGAAGTAGCCCTTTTTCCTTCTCCTCAGTGGCGCATCGATTGGAACGTGTTCCATTTTCGCTTCAAGATGGCTCCAAACTGGAGCCTTAGGCTGTCCAGCTTCCAGGGGGTTCTTTGGATCCTTTGGATCTACCTCTTCAGGCCGGGACGTCGAGAGTGTCGGACGACCCGGCTTTGATCGACACAACAGCAGATGTTTCCACTGAGGCCACCAAGAACATCGTAGAGCTCACCCCAGGGATACCGAGAATCCCTGGATGGATCTAGGATTAGCCGCATGGCGACCATGCGGATGGAGCCGTTGGAGTTGTGCTTCGAGTCAACTCGGAAGCGATGCCAAAGACTTATCAAAGCCTTGGATAGATCTAACATTTCTATACTTAAACCGACTTAAACCATTTTTCTTTTGAAGTGTATGAGATGCTCTTTGTTTTTTGTGAATTGGAACCAGCAGACTTCAACATTTCAGATGTCTCTTTTGCTTGTCAATCCCCAGCGAAGAGTCCACCCCAAAGAAAAACGCAGCTCCCTGACTCGCTGGACACCACGGACACAACTGAACCGACCAGAAGCAACCGAAGCGAAAGTGACGAGGGCAAAACGCACCAAAAGCGACGTCACAAGCCAAACTGAAACGACCACGACTTCCAAGTGACGTTCGACTTCCAAGCCGTAGCAAGGGACCAGTTAAGACCAAGTCAAGGTGGCACTTCATAGCAAGCGTTCCACACCCGACATAAAGCTACACCTAGACAGAACATCATCGTTGAAGCAACGATGCACAGATATACCGCTGGTTTCTTTGGCCAGCGCAAGGGACCAAATGTGCAGAGAGTCATCCTTCTTCAGCATTTTGCAGCCTTGCTCCAACCAGCCAAGGTTCGATATTTGAGCAAGACACACGGATGCATTTGAAGTTGTGCAGCTTGAAACTGGACATTTCGATCAGACGCGAAAAGAACGCTTTTGGATCGGCAAACCTCCGACTGGAGGGGCTGGAGGCCAGAAGAAAGGTCACTCCTCGGTCTTTGAAGAAGTAGCTGGAGCTTTTACTCGCGAGTGACACGACTGGCTCTCCCTGCATGCAGCTGGAGTGGGAGCCTTTTCCGTGCTCTGTTTTTTTGTTTCAGGAAAGGGGTGCCTTTCATTTGCGACCCGTTGGGCATCTTCATGGACAGTCAGAAGCTGAGGGTGGGATGGAGGTGGACCACGGAGTGACCCGAGGTCGACAACTGGTGGTCACTGAGAGAACCAGTGGAATCAGTCACTATTTCCCACGATGTTGTAGGCCGAACTCCCCTCAAAGAAGAAGCAAACGCAGATTCCAAGGACGAAACTGGGAATCATAGAACAAAATAGAACGATTGGAAACGCGGAACTTGTTTTTTTTGGCATGTCAAACTTGGCATTATTGATGCACATACACATGCACAGGTCTAAATGTGACTGATAAGGGTCCTACGATCAGTGCTCAGATTGAGTGCAAAACGACCGCGTTCTGGAACTAACCTGGGTTGTTAGTGAGTGCTTCTCAAACTCAAACCAACATCTGTGGATGTGATACTCTTGTTCTACCAGCAACACGGAAAAGTATTGTTCTTGGAAGGAAAGTCCCTAATTTTCGGGGTGTCCCAAACCACCCGAACTCGGTGCGCTCGTAGATTCTAGTTACCTCCGTGGGTGCTGCATGTTTTTCGCTTCCAGCTCTGCACCTGCCTGCGGCTGAGGCAGTTGGACGTACTGTGTCTCCAGCCTCGCCACGGAAGGCGGTCGCTGGGGATGGGAGCCAAGATGGTGGCAGCGGTGTCTGGTCATGTCTGGGAAGCGGTGTTTTGAGCTAATAGCAATGGCCTCCAGCCTCCTAGCGATGGCCTCCAACCTAATAGCAATGAGAAGCGGTGTTTTGAGCTATTTTGAGATTGCTATAGACTTAGACTTCACACGTTTCAATAAGGAGTGGTTGATCCTTGATTGGACCATAGTTTTCACAAGACCGTTGTGGGCCGGTCTTACGTAAAACATCGTAAAACCACTTGCAAGTTTTGCTGATCTAGAGAACATGGAACTTTGGCACCAAAGACTCAATAAACCATCCATTGGAGGAACCGACCTCTTCTATTGTAGTGATCGAGATGAGCAAAGAACAGAACCTTTCATCAACTATGAACATGTCCCCGAATGCTTTCTGGTTTGTTGCTCTTCGACGCTTTCTCCCGTGGCTTGCTTTAAGATTGTACTTTGGGTGCAGGCGATGATGCTAGTGTTCCATTGCTTGAACGTGTGTGCGTTCTAGAAGGGTCGATACTCCATGGCGCATGCTTTACTGTCTTTTCTCTGCAAGCCATGACTCTGACTACTTACCTGGTCCACAGACATGTGCGCCAAATGCCGGCTTTGCTGCATCAGGGGACTTCTTCTGTTTCGTCTCCCAGGGTAAAGATCCGGGCCCAGAGCGAGAGAAGGCGGGAGAGAGTAGCTGGGTCACCGCAGAAGGGAGGAGAGACTGTAGCTGGGTCACCGTTGATGTTTATGGGATGGCTGGGAGGCCTAAGTCGCAGATTTTGAAGAATGGGAAGCTCCAGAAGTGCGGGGATATGCGAGGTTTCTTTTGGTTATTTTTGTGGGGCAGGGATGGTTATCTCCCCGGGTATGACTACAAGACGTGGATGGTGGTTCGGTTACCACAGTCTTGCCTTTGTAGGGGTCAATCCTTTTTTTGGACAGGAGTGGTGGGGATGTTCGGCCGGTTCTTCCAAAGACATTTATATACATTATATACCCTGAGGCCCTGTTGACCCTTTCGCAGGGTCTTTCAATTTGGAGCTCAAGCTCCTGCCAACGTCGGCGGTGATTCATTGGCATGTTCTGCAGGGCTCCTCTAGTTACTCTAGTTCACCACATTGGAAGAGGGATGAAGAGGGGAATTTGGCTTGAAATCGAGACTCTAGGTTCCTGAGCAGCCTCTCGTCAGTGTGACCTAGCATGATCCTTGAAAAGGTGACCCAAATGGAGCACCAGTGCAGCGCCAGCACTGTCCCAAACGCCCCAAAAAAGCGACACACGAAAAACCGCTGAAGAAAAGACGACGCACGACGCACGAAGTCGACATCTTCGCAGGAACTCCAACCCTTCATCGTCCAGTAACTTGGACGGCGGTCGGAAGCCAGGTTGGAGGCCATCGCTACTAGGGTGGAGACCATTGCTAGTAGGTTGGAGGCCATCGCTAGTATTGGGGGAAGGAAAACATGCTGGTGGAAGTTCCGTGTCGCTGAAGGTTACATTGTTGTATCTAGTCTGTTGCACAGTGTGTGGCCAAATTCCGTTTGTGATGTCGCTGTGCCGTGCTCTGTTTTGCGCGGCCACGGTGGAGAGTGCGTTTGCTTGAGTCCGTGATTGGGGGAAGGAAAGGGGGATGATTGGCAGTGTCTACGAGTCATATCGTACTGCACCCATAGCAACAATTCTAGAAACCCGCGAGGTGCACGTGTAGCATTTGGCAGCGTGCATGCAAGTGCAGCTTTATATACAGCTCTCAAATGTAGCTATGCACATCTCTTACTACGCACGCCCTCATCTACATTACTGGGATCTTACATCGGCAGCTTTTGCGAGTATCTTGCTTGAGTAGGCACGAACACACATTGGACTACATTGTCGTTGGAATCTTGCTGTAGTAAACTGATAGAGTGATACGTCGGGAAGGTGCGGTGTGAGACGGAGGCGAGAAAGGTATTTGAGTTGTGTTGTTTAAACTTATTCCCGGCAGTGCTGCGAAGGCTCTTCTGTAGAAACTTTTTGTAACACATCTGCGTCAATACATTTGGGAGCTATCTTTCTGGCTGTTTCTTTCCAATCTTACATGGCTGCATTGGTATGAATGCTATAAGCTACATCTGCAGCAGCTTGCAGTGGTTTTCTACCAGACATTTGGGACTTTTACAGCTGCAGTTGTATGTATGCTATAAGTGCATCTGCAGCTTGCGTGCGTGGTCTTCTAGACTTGCTGAGGAGGTAGTACATTTGCAACTTATACAGCTGCAGTTGTATGTATGCCTATGCTACAATAGGTATGCTACAAGTACATTTTCAGCTTGCAGGTATGGTTGATGTGGTATTTTCTCAAAGAAGATTGACAACGGTTACGGTACTGTATACCGTTTCGCAGGTCCTGAAATCGATCACGTGTAGGCACCAAAAATACGTAGCACAATTGCGCATTCAAGATTTTCATGGACTACGTGGGTCCCTTCTGGAACATGCACCATGTCTTAGCAACACTGCGCACTGGTCACTGGTCAGCCTGTGGAGCTGGCGGTGTTGCTCGTGGAGCACCACCAGAATTGACGCCAAGGATTTTCTCCGCGTTACGGTGGCTGCATGAACGTTACATTGCTCACTGTGATATCTCCATGGAGAACATCCTGGTAACCAAGGAGCTCGGGTGGTTTCCTAAGTCAGGCGGTTTTTCTGTTTCTTGAAGTGGATGATCATGAGGAGACGTGGACTAGAGGATTCGATTCAATTGGCCTTTCTTCTTGAGTCGAAACAGTTTGGCCGTGTTTTTGAATGTTTGTCCGATGCCAACTCTCAACACCAGACAGAAGCCGTTCAATATCATAAAGGCCTAGTGTGATCCCGTCGAAAGAATGCAGACAGAAAAACCCATGAGGTCGGTTCCCTTTCATCATCTCCGTTGGTCTGCACGATGTCTTTGGAGAAGCACCTGAAAACCGTTGAGAACCCGTCAGACTCTCTTCATGTCGCTTCTTGCTGGCCAGGAGTCCGATGGGAGATACCAGGCCGCTTGGGGAGATGCCAGTTGATGGCTGGAGCTTTATGTGCACGGATTGATGACTCTGGGAGATGGGAAACAAGGCATCAGTGAGGAAAACCATCTCTCATGTGATCCGCTTCTTTGCGATGGTTCAGCTGGAGTTGCTGGTTGGAAGCAGGTCCGTGGGATGAACAGCAGGTCCGATTCTGTCCCGAAAGAAACCTGGACAGCCCTGCCAGGTGAAGCTGATCGATTTTAGCATGGCTGTGCCAGGGCAAAGGGTCACTTGTGGACATCGAGGCAAGCCTTCCTATCAGGCTCCAGCCGAAGCGCATGCGGTGCCAGCAGGGTGTTGGACGAGTTCCCGAGGTTCTGTTTCTTCCGGTTCAAACACGCACCGACACGGATGATAAGAAATACGTTTCTTCCATCGCGGTGCAGTCTTTGTCTGTTTTCTTTTCCCTATCATGACGCGAATCGCCACAGTGACCGGAGAATGGCGGAGAATGTGGGCTTTGGAGCCCTGGAAAGCTGCGGTTGGCCGTTCGTTTGCGGATTCCTCAGTAGAACAAAGACATTCTTCAAGGCGTCATTTTTCTCTTGAGATCTTAAACAGGTGGGTTGGTGGTCTTTTTTGGAAGAAACGGTCAAGCTGGACCAAGCTGCCTGTCAGGCACCAGAAATGGCTTTGTCCGCCTTTTATGACTCCTTTGCCCTGGATTGCTTTGCACTTGGCGTTGTCGGGATTCACAGTGGGCATTTTGTCGTCCTTGTCGTACCGGTCCGTTGGCGCGATCGAAGTGTGATGTGAATCGCAAGGATCTCTTTGTGAGCGAAGGAAGATGTACCTCTTGGGCTTGAGTGTGTGGAAGGGTTGGGTTCCGCGGATTTCTACCTCTCAAATGATTTCTTTTTTCTGAGTCTCCTGTGCTGCCTGAGGTCTTGTTCAGCAGTGCTGCCCGGATTTATCCGTGGATGTCCACTGTGCAAGGCCGTTGCAAGTGCTTTGATGCTGGGCGAGAATGATGTGGCCTCTTGATGAATAACACCCCCAAAGTAGGATTGGAAAGCCTCTTCAGGCTTGGGGGTTGAAATATCATCAAGAGTGCACATGAATTGTTTGGCGACAACATCAGCTCAAACAGATTCAAACTGTTTGTTATATATGGAACTGGGCTGGAAGTTGGTTTTGAGCACTCTGGCTATCCAAAATAGCAGCGATGGGCGATGGATTGGGGAAAAGGACATTTGACGGTTTTGTTGAGTACCATTGCAGAGACCCGTTCTTGGATAGTGGAGAGATTTGGGCTACTTTGGGGACCCAGAGGAGGATACCTACCTAACAGATCCTAGCCGATATTCTTTGCTTCAACAGCTCTCCCTGTTGTTTATCCCGTGCCCTGCAGATCAAACCATGGAAGAGTGTTTCCATCGGACTGGGGAAGTCAACTTTTCCGTTCTCGATCGATGCGCGAGACTCAGCGGTATGGCGATGAAGCAAAGCGGTTTGGCTCGGTTGGAGCAAAGCCGTTTGGCCGGCCGAGGATTATGTGCTTGAACATGGCCATAGGAAATTCTGGAGGACACGCTGCTTGGACAGTGGAAGTATGAGTAGGGGTGACTGTGAGAGCCATTCAAAATAGTGCCAATTCTGGATGTGACCTCTACTGATGGTTCTTGGTGGTATGACTTAGGATTCAGCTATATTCAGCTTATTTTTAGCAGCTCATGTTTGTTTCAGTAGCGAAGAGTGAAAGATCAATCCTTCTGGGTACAAGTACAAGGAAGTCATCGATCACTAGCAGGATTTTCCTGCACCCTCTATCCAACAAGCATTCAAGTGGAGTTCACCTCGGTATCCGGAGCCCATCGTCTTCATGTATTTATATCATTCACTTCGGACATTGGATAGAGGTTCCAGGAACATCCCAAGCGAGGAAGATCCGGAGTCCATGATCCCCAAAAGAACCTCCCAGCCTGCAGGCGCTTCCGACCTCCTGGCACCCTTCAGGCCCCTTTCAGGCCGAACTTCTTTTGCTTGGGAAGGAACTGAACAATCCGCCCAACACGGCACCAATGTGGCTACAGCATGTGACACGAGTGAAATGTGTGGACACTTCCGCTCTGCCTCTGTGGCACGGGGAGAGGCTGAGGTAAAATCAAGAAGACTCCCCCTGTGCAGAGCATCAACGACGTTCTGAGCGAGGAGACGAGCGGGTCTCCGACGCTGAAGACCTCGGTGGGCTGGAAGACCTCGGTGGGGGCACGTCGCTGGGGTCATGGCCTTTGGGGTATAGGTTGGACCGATGCCTTTCATGATTGGTTGGTTGATGATTGGTTTAAAGCTTCAAGTCTACAATCACTGGGTCAATTATATGGTACCAGATCAACCCTCGATTGTTCCCAAGGTCGGACATCATCCGTTTGACCAATGTTTTCATGATTTTTATATTTTCTCATGGCCACACATGGCTTCGGGTCTCTCATGGTCTCTTTATGGGGCTTCCAAGCAACGCCTGCAACGATTAACACAGAAGCTTTCCGATTTCCCTCCTAGCGCTCAACGCCCCCCTCCAGCCAAATCACATCAAGCTTTCGGCTGGAACACTTCGCAACGATGACCCTTTCTTTTGGCTCAGCCTGGAGCGCTCCAGGAGCTGAAGCAGATCTTGGAAGGCTTGTTAGCCTTTAGCCCTTCGGCCCCTCGGCGCCGAGTTACAGATCTTCGTCGTCTCGGTTCGGTCACCGATCGGTCTCGGTTCGGATGTAGCCGATCGATAGGCGCAGGAATGTTGCTGAGACTGGCGATGGCCTCCAACCTACTAGCGATGACCTCCAAGTATAGAGAGATGGTTCAATTCAATGAATCGTTTGAAGACGTTTAGGGCTGTGAACAAAGTGCGTAGTCATGCCCAATGGGTAGCTGTCGGAGCAATGTCCCTCCATCCACCAGCCCCCAAAAGAATAACAGATGCAAAACATCGGGAAACTGATTTGCCTGCCCAGGATCTGTCCAGGAATGTGCTGGTCGTGCTAAGTGCTATGAAAACTTAAGAAAGTTTCAAGCATTCTTTGTCCGGTTCTGTCCGGGTTTGAAGGGACCCTTTTCCGCCCCAAAAGGCCTAAAAGCCTTGGGCGGTGTTTGCGCTCATGAAAGATGGTGACCCTGAAATTCTTCGCCACTAAGAGAGCGACACGTCTAAGAGAGCGACTCGTCACTCGGTCAGCAGGAGCTGCCTCGCTTGGCCGGCTCAGGACCGCTTCTCCTTAGAGGAAGTCTTTAGCTATGGATGGTTCCAGGGGAGTGGCCCCTCGTCCAAAGGCCGAACCACACGTGGCACGGTGTGGAGCCAGCCTGCACCGGGCCGTCGCCGGCGACCAGGGCGGTTCCCGTCGACCGGGAGTGTTCCGTTGCGCGCGGGCGTGACCGGCGAATGGGGGGCGAGACGGAAGGATTTGGTTGAGATCCGGCTCTGACAGAAACGCCCAAAGCTGGATGGAAGTTTGATCGGAATCAGGGGGCCCTTTCCATGAACCAGCGAGGAATTTGTCTTGCTGACTTGAGTGTGCTTCCTTGCAGCAGTCAAGTGAATATGTCTGAATGCTTGAGTCGCTACCACTGAGTGGAGGATCATTTTTGTTTGTTGGACATTGTGGAAGCAGAAGGGATCCACCTAGAACCGCAACGATATGATATGAGACATCTTGAGCCGTTGAAGCTTTTAAAAGGTATTTTCAGCCGAAATAAGGTTGCTGAAGTTCTCAAGTGCGTCATTCTGATTTTTTCTCAGACCTGTAGGCTGGCGGCCACTGGCGGCCACTGGCCGCTTTCGAGTCGATCCCGACCCAGGGCTTTCCTGGCAGAAAACCACAACCTTTGACTATTGTTGACAAACTTCGCACCACGAACCGCCGAGGAGTTGTGTTGGAGACCTCCTTTGGAACTCATTCCGGCTGAAACCCAATTCGCCAAGGCAGGCCGAGCGCGGACGGGATCCCACCGTTTTCAGGCGCCCCACACACCGAAAGACCAGGTGTCAGATCAGCGAGGCGTTCTTTTCGGGCATAGAAGAACGAGAAGTGAGAAGAGTTCGGAAAATGAAGGACTGAGAATGTACTGTAAAAAGAAGACAACTTGAAGGAAGGATGGACCGTGGTGTTGGACACAAAGACCAAGAGCCCATTGGAGGCCCGAGGTGGCGGAGGTTGCTTTGGCTTCATCTTGAGTTAATTCATGACTTCCACGATACGAGTTAGGTTGGAGGCCATCGCTAGTAGGTTGGAGGCTCTGTTTTTGAATGAGCGCTACCTAGGAATTAAGGCCGTGGCCGACCCGTGACCCGGAATGAAGGCTGATTCTCAAGTAGAGGGCTTGTCGGACGACAAAGCACATGTAACTTCTCTCATGGTGTGATGCGGTCTTCGCCCCACTTCTAAACTTGTGAGAAGCGGATCGGCGTTGCGCGAAGATTCGGTCTGCATGGGAAGATTCGGTCATCAGCTCTCAGCTCTGCTCCGCTCAGGCATCACGCGGCTCTGCCGTGCTGCTTTTCAAGCGGCGAGCTGCACGATAGACCTAGGGGCAGTGTTCGGATGAGAATCGCAGCGCTTTTGGTAAGAACACAGGTTGGATTACCCCTTGGCCAGGTGGCGACGTCACCTGAGAACGTCACATGAACATCTGGGGAGCGGAACATCTGAAGGCAACTCCCAATAACTGAATGGGTCATTTCCACGCGGAATTTGGGCGGTTTTCTTCCAAACGTGTACATTCACTGCGGCACAGTCGTTTTGGACCCAGTTTCTGGGGTTCATGCAGGCCACATCAGTTTGGTAGAGCCTTTCTCGACAGGTCCATTGTTTTCTCACTCGCCTCAATTGAAACAAGCGCAACCTTGCACGGCCGGGTGAGCCTAGTCCTGTGCCATTCTCATCTTGCTAAGCTGGCTGCCATGGGTTTTACCCTAAAACACGAGGCGGAGCCCAGGAGTGGTGAGACTGCGGAACAGCTCGTTCCAGCGTGGGAACAGCCCAGCCAACGGTCTTTTGGTCTGTTGAGGCTTTGGTCCAAGATCACTTGATTTGCCTGGACATGATCCCTGAATTGCATCTGCAGACACTTTGTATTGGTAGGCTTGCCTGGACGTGTGCGTTGAAATGGAACTTGCCTTCATCCTGCCTGTGGGCAGTGGGTTTTGTAGGACACCTTTAAGTGGCGTTCCAAATGCCCTTCGAGACACTTTGACTGGTGGGACTGAAAGAAGACCTTGAAAACTACCCTGCGCCCGGAGGTCTTTCCAAAAAGACGGCCACACCATCAACTCAGACGCCCGCAGGTTCCCACTCACCTGGGGATCAGCCCTGTTTTGCTGGCGGACACAGAGGATCTCATTTTTCAAGGACTGAGATGTCCTCGTTCCGCACGTAGCCTGCACAGACTGGTGCTGGCGGCGTGGTGCTACCACAGGACGGTGTTGGTCCGCGCTGGGCCAGGACGAAACCTTGACATTAACATTTACAGTACAGCATATTTATAATATAAAGACATAGAATAAATATACAAGATTCCCTCTCCAATACCCCGTATGTTCATCTGGTGATTTCTCACGCCATGTTTTAAGCCAAATAGTGACCCAATGTTGATGCTTACTTTTCTCATCCCCTTGGCTGACCGCAGGTGAAGATATATATATATATATTGCAAAGGCATAAGGAACTGTGCTTTGATACTTAGATATATGATATGTCGTGATTATTCCATTTGGAAGGCTGGGATGGACTTGTACGGGTATTGTACGCGTACAAGCTTTTTAATCTACTATCATGGACCAGCACTTAGAATATGAAATCCTAAAATTTAGGAATTACATTTCCTAGTCAACTCAGTGGAGCCTGAGATAGAATATAGAACAGGCAGTCCAGTTAGAATATGGGAAACCACTCATGTAGAGTTCCAGGATTGAGTTGCACCCTACTCATGCACTGTAGAGTTCCCTTGTACTGTTAGTTCTTGCTGGTTGCACTTG